AGAAATACAAAGGCTTCAATAGAAAAAGAGAGGTAAGAAACTGAAAGGTCAAAAGTCAGGTCTAAGTTCTTTACTCCACCCTCAGCGCTGGAGCTAGTGAAGTAGAAAAACATATGTTAGTTTGGAGGTGAGGTCTGAGGTAGAAATGTAAATTTGGGCAATATCAGTACATGCTTTTATCAAAAGTGGGAATGGATACTAGGCAGCCAAAAATAGAGACTGGAATATGTTTATATGTTGCTGGAGTGGTCCATTGGTAAGGGAGAGATAGATGAGGCAGAAGAGAGAAGACACTTGAAGGAGCGTCCTTGAGCAGGAGAGGACCAAGAACCTTTAACAGGAGGGACACTTTGGGCAGCAACAAGACAGAAGGAGAAAGTAGGCACTAATGTACAGAGGGGTGTGAACTGGATGGTGATTTCCCAGCTGGTGGCTTCTCTTTGTTCAATGGAGAAGAAAGAATGTTCCAGTTATCAATTTACTGTCTTTAATCTCCAGATCTAACCCATATTACCTGCTCTGTGATAATGGACCTGGACCATATAAACATTTCTCTTTTGCCAAATATAATGTTAAGGTTTGTCAGCAAACGGTACTGAAGGGAGATTGCAGGAGGAGCTTCTCTTCCTGTTTCTGGTTTGCTCCTTTGAGCGGGTTCCTACGGTGCCCTGTGGCCAGCACCACATAGCACCTTCCTGCGGGTAGCTTCCCCTAGCGATCCAGAGGGCACCTTACTTCTCTACCATTCAATTAGCCCAAAGTCTGGGGTGGCCTCCACCAAATCTGTTCCTTGCTAGGTTCTGTCTCAGCTCAGAGGGGGTGACAGCTTCAATATGTTATTTCCATATGCTTTAAAATTTTCTTTTTCTCTTAATAGATAATCCCTTATTACAGTTAATTCTTTTTTTTTTTTTAAGTTTCTAGTTATTTATTCATTTAAGTAACCTCTACACCCAACATGGGCTCAAACTCATGACCAGGAGATCAAGAGTCGCACACTCTTCTGACTGAGCCTGCCAGGTGCCCCTACAGCTAATTCTTTATATTAAATTTTCCTGTTTAAAATACTTTGTGGTTTCTCTTTGTGGTCTCTTAAAGGGTCCTGACTTACCTAATAAGTTATAAGCTAAGAATGTGGGAAGGGGAAAGAGGAGGTTTGGGGAGAAATGGGCTGAAATAGTCTGGAAAAGGGAGTAAGTAAATTTGCCAAACAAAAGTAGGATTTCCATTACACTGTTTAGATGTATGGTAATTCATTTTACCAGTCTCTGGATATTTTGGTTGTTTAAAACACACACACACACACACACACACACACACACACTGTGGATGTGGATGGATATTCTTCTAATCTGTCTACCTATGCTTTTGGAGACATCTTTTCTTTCCTTTCTTTTCCCTTCCTTTTCTTTCTTTCTATCTATTTATTTTTGACTGCTGTGACGGCTGACTGCTTGAAAAGACCACCAAAATAACCTGTTGGTAGAACAAAGACAAGGGCACTTTGGGCACTTGGGTGGCTCAGTTGGTTAAGCGTCTGCCTTCGGCTCAGACCATGATCCCAGGGTCCTGGGATCGAGCCCCGTGTCAGGCTCCCTGCGAGCCTGCTTCTCCCTCTCCCACTTCCCCTCTTGTGTTCTCTCTCTCACTGTCTCTCTCTGTCAAATAAATAAATAAAATCTTTAAAAATAAATAAATAAAATAAAATAAAGAATGGGAAAAAAAACAAGTTATAGACTGGGAGAAAATACTTGCAAATGATATCAGATAGCAAATAAGCATTTTAAAAGATGCTCAATATTCTTCAGGGAAAGGAAAATTAAAAGCACAGTGAAATATCACTACACACCTATTTGAGTGTCTAAAGCAAAAGACTGACCATACCAAGTGTTGACAAGAATATGAAACAACCAGAACTCTCAAGCACTGCTGATGGGAATAAAAAATGGTAATAACCACTCTGGAAAACAGTTTGGCCGTTTCTTACAACGTTAAACACACACCTACCACACAATGCAGCCATTCTACTCCTAAGTATTTACCAAGAGAAATAAAAGCACATGTCCATACAAAGACTTACATGAATATTCATAGCAGCTTTATTTGTTATAGCCAAACACTGAAACCTCCAAATGTCCATCAATGGGTCTATAGATAAACAAATAGTGGTATAGCCAAATATGGGAAAACTGTTCAACACTAAAAAGGAATTAACTGTTATTACATACAACTGCATGGATGAATTTAAAAATGATTATGCTGAATGAAAGAAGCCAACAAAAAAGTACAAACTGGAGCGCCTCGGTGGCTTGAGTCGGTTAAGCAACTGACTCTTGGTTTCAGCTCAGATCATGATCTTGGGGTCGTGGGATTGAGCACCCCTCCCCTCCCGCTCCATGCTCTGCAGGGAGTCTGCTTGAAATTCTCTCTCCTTCTCCATCTGCCCCTTCCCCCCACTCGAGTGCAAGCTTGCTCTCTCAAATAAATTAACTTAAAAAATTCTCTCTGCCCCTCCCCCTCCTCTAAAAAAAAAGAGTATATACTGTATGATTGCATTTAAGCAAATTATAGAAAAATGCAAACTAATCTATAGTAACAGAAAGTAAGTCAGTGGTTGCTTGGGGAAGGGGTTTGAAGGTGGGGTTTGGGGGCCATGAAGGAGACATTACAAAGGAGCATGAGAAAATGTTTGGGAGTGATGAATATATTCATTATCTTTAATGGGATGTTTCACACGTATCCACATGTCAAAACTTACAAATTTTTCGTTTTAAATATGTTCAATTCTTTGTATGTCAATAAAGTTGTGTTAAAGAAAAGCTATTTTTGCTTTTGTGGCAACTTTTGAGGCAGAAGTTGAACTGAAAATTTGAACCCATCCTTCCTCAGAATTCCTGCACCCTCCGTCATGCGCCTATAATGTTACCTTCCTTTTCAGAGTAATTAAAAGAGAGCTCTTGAGGCTTACAGCAATACCCCCAAACCTTAAAGTTAAGATTACCTGCTGAGGCAAACACTGTTGACAGTCTTCTTAACAGCCATTCCCCTTTCTCTTTCTTTTCTGCCACAACCTACCTTCTCACATTACAAACTGATAATCTCTGGACATGTACCCTAACCATGGTTAATGGTACCTGAAGGCCATTCTGGGTAAGATTTTCCACCCAGGTTAAAAGAAAAGAAAAAAAAAATGTACCTTCTTCCTGCCTTTGGATGTTGTTACAAGAAAATGTGATGTTTATCGCTGTGGGAGCCTTTTGGCAACCATGAGGGGAAAATCAAGAGTCTCAGAAGACTACAAACTCTGACAATGTTGCACTGCTGAATTAACCAACCCTGGAGCCAGCTACCTCTGGACTTCCTGCAATGTGGAATAATACACTACTCATTTTTTAAAAGCCATTTAGTTGCATTTCTTGTTACTTGCAGTTGAGAGCATTACATCTATTTAACGGATGACATTATTAAGCAATTAAAATAACTGACAAAATGATAATCTGAAAATGGGTGTCTCTGGAGTTTTAGGAACACCTAAATTTTAGTCATGGAATTGAACTGTATCCAGTCTGAAGAAAGAACATATTAAGTCATTAAGACAGTGGCCCCTTCCATATTCTATCCTCCCAGGTCAGGTATCTCTTGGAAGTGATGCTAATAAACACCATGCCACGTGAGCACTGACAGGAAAACTAGCAACTTAGGAGCTATCCTATAAGGAACTGTTGCAGAAGTGTCCCTGCTGGTCTCCAGCTCCTTCTCATATGGCTGTAGGCACTGAGAAGCTGCCTAAAATGTTGCCCTAACATCTACAGGTTCAGCATCCAAACTCACCCTCCTTTATAACTTTTAGTAATGGTGGCTCCTACACCTGCCCATCCAGCTGTAGGCAAAGGCTTGCTTGGTGGAGGTGGTTGTCCAGGCTGCAAAATTAGGTTGTAGAAGTAATATCCAGCCAGGAGTCTGCGATGCAGGCTGAGGCCCAAAGCCACTACTTGACAGAACTGCCCAGGTGGGGCCCCAAACAAAGAATTTTAAACCCCTATAAAACATTCAGCAAAAACTTTATATAGAGAGAAATTCTTTGGTAAAGTGACTATAAGCACAATTTGTTTCGCAAGGTTTAGATTTTTATACCGTGTTTCTTTGAGGCAAATATATTTTGTACTGGATTTTGTATGAATTTCTTAGACTTTCAGTGTTTAAAGGAAAGATGATGTGTCTTTTACTGATTCAGTTGTTTAATTACATGCTTTTATGTGTATTCTTTCTGGCAACAAGATCATCAACCTGCCCCCTGCAGCACTAAGCCTAGTGCTTTGCAGCAAGGACTCAATATAAAATGACTGAGAGAAACAACGGGCGGCGGGGGGGGGGGGGGGACCCCACAAAACACAAAAATCAGTAGCAAATTAGAACATGTTCATAAACAAGGCACGTGACTGCTTTACGAATGCTGTTTATAAATGCTCTATTATTATCTATAAAAACAGCAGCAGTAGCTGTTGTTAGAAGAGAAATATATAGCAGCTTCCTTTTTTCCTGGTAACTGGTTCTTCTGTTGTGTGTGAAGGGGTCGATTCCAGATACCCTTACTCTAAATCGGGATGTCCAATACCACCAGTTTTTTACGCACTGAACTACGTGAGAGTAGAAGACTAAGCAAATAGAGTGTACTAGGAACGGGAGACCCTTCGTTTTTGGAGCATTTTCCGCTCTCTTCGGTCCATTACAAACTAGATTAAACATCTGCACACTCAGTGAATGGCTCTAGGTGAAGTCCTCGTGAGCCTTGAAAGCCTCTACGGAGTTCCAAACGGCCCCCGCCAATAGGAACTTACGTTGCGCCACTCCGCCGCAGGCCGAGATGCCAGACCTCCCGGCGGCGCCACAAGTTGGCCGAGAGGCTGGGACCGCAACCCCCACCACCCGCTCTAGCTCTCAGCCGGCTCTCCGCCGCCGGGCGAACGCCCCAACCCCGGGCAGGGGCGGGGCCAAGACCCGGAAGAGGCGGGGCCCGGAGCGCCAAACGCCCAGCGGAAGAAGCTGTGCTTTCTTTTCCGCGCGGCCAGCGAAGGATGCGGGTGCGTGGAGCGCCGTCGGCCAGGCGGGCCGGGCGGCGGGGTGTGCGGGCCAGTCGCTGGGCTCTTCGAGGTGGGAGTCCTCGCGGTCTTACTTAGTTCCCCCTGTTCCTGCCGGGAACCTGATTCCGTTCCGGAACCCGTGCCCGCCTCGGGCCTTCTGCCCTTGGGTGCCCGCGCCCTGGGCCTCCGACCCTTGTCCGAGCGCAGCCGAGTGGTCTGCACGGCCGCGAGGTCTGCCCGGGAGGCAACCGTCCCCTTCCTCTGCCCCCCACCCCCCCGCCCCAGTTGACGGGGCCGGAGCTTACTTCCGGGTCGTTGGCTCAGTCGCATTTTTTTTGAGTAACCAGCCGCGACTCTTAACCTGACCCTTCTCTTAAGTAGACCCTGGCTTCAACTCTTCTAAGCTCAAAAATAATAAAGGGCCTTCTCAGATTCAGGTGGTTCCGAGGCGGTTGGAGGGTACGGCGGGTGGGTTTGGTGCTCCCCCCCGCCCTTTTCCGAAGCCGTTTTATATCCCCAGCAAAGCCTTGAGTGCGGCCAGAAGGTTTTAAGGTCCCCTAAATGGGCTGCGTATTTACCCCTAGTAAGGGAGCATTTTGTAAAATGGGGAAGGGATTATCTCTAGGATGTTAAGACAACCTTTACTTAACTGTACTTTGTGATTGGCTTTTAAACTTGTTAACAGCAGTTTAGTAACAGTTCTGGTAGGGATTTAGTAGAGTTAATTTGTCGCATTTGTGAGTCTTCCTTTGTAAATATGCTCTGAGTGGTAATGAAGTTGGAGAACAATAGGTACTGTATAGATTCCCGCCCCTCCCCTACCCCCAGGCCATAAATGCCTGCTTTATCCTTAGATGTTTGCGTTTATATAGAGATGTGTATTTCTGAACATAATGCGGAAGAAACTGGTCAACAGCTGGGAGACTGGAAAAAACCACTCCCTATTCAAAAACAAGTTATTAATGAATACTTCACCGATGAGACTTGGTATAATCCTGTGATTTTTTTTGTTCCCTTCCCCAAATATGTTGCTGACAACAAGGCAACTGTAATGGCTGAAAGTAGGTTTTGGTTTTTTTGTTTTTTTGGGTTTTATTTATTTGACAGGGAGAGACACAGCGAGAGAGGGAACACAGCAGGGGGGAGTGGGAGAGGGAGAAGCAGGCATCCCTCCGAGCAGGGAGCCCAGTGCGGGGCTGGATCCCAGGACCCGTGGATCGTGACCTGAGCCGAAGCAGACGCTTAACGACTGAGCCACCCAGGCGCCCCTGAAAATAGTGTATATTTGGTATTAGTCATTATTTTGAGGCCTGAGGGGCTTGAATCCTCTTTTTATTGGTAAATATTGGGATTTTTTTTTTTTAATTTTACAAACTAAATGTTTGGTAAAAATAATGTAGGTAATTCCTGAAGCATAATAAATACAGAGCCCACCAAACCATTTAAGAACGGTGATTTTATCAATACAGTGGCATCTTATTTCTTCCGTGTCCCATTCTCCTGCCTTCCATCCTGAGGTGCCTATCATCTGGGCTTTTGTATCCATGTCTCTTAGCTTTTTGAGCTAAGTGGGATGGATAGCAGTTTTATTCCAAATAATGTACCCCTAAACATGCTTGTAGGCTTTACAGAAATGGGATTATGCATGTAGTTTTCAGTAGTTCCCATCAATCTCCTTACTGAACTTTTCCAGTTGGAATTATTCATAATTAATAGTTTGTGTTCCTGATATTGATTATGTGAAATTATTTCCAGACTTGAAAATGATAAATTGTTTCGCAAGGTCCAACATTTGATGTGTCTTCATAAATCATTTCCAGTAGCTGTCTGATTCAGTGATTTATCCTCCTGGGGTGCTGCGGGATATGATCTGTGGCCCTGGCTATTCCCTTTGCACTACCTAAGTGTGCTTTCAGGCAACCTGGGACTTAATAATTCCACAAGACTGTCCAATAATGATGCCAACATAATGTATCTGCTCTAAAACTATATTAGATTTGCCATTGTGATGCTTTAGTTGGAGGTCTGCACACTTGTTTTTATATACCTAACCTTTAACCTGATTCCTATCTCATCCTTGTCAAGCTTGGAGACAGAAAAGCAATGGCTAGAGTACTCATTAGGACCATCATGTCTTAAAATCGATACTGCCCCAGTAAAGAACATCATATGTATCCACTGTTTTTCCTATTCATGCTAATAAACCCATTTCCAGCTTGGAAAGATCATTTATGGAATTATTAGGGCCTAAACAGTCAAAAGTACTAATATGCTCAAATCATTATAGACATTTTAAGTTTGGGGTTTATCTGCTTTGACTACCAAAAAAAGAATTAAGCAGAAAGTACTTTGTTCATTAGAGATGTGTTAAAACAATAGAAAAATTTTTCCAGTATATGGCCTTAATGTTTAGTTTTTATTAAAAAGTTAGTTGGGAGTCAGGAAGGTTGCAAATATTATGTTTATGGTTCCTGATGAGAAGGAAGAAGTCTTACTGGACCATTCCTACATAAAAGATGCCAAACAAACAGATGCAAGTACAAATGAGAATTTTAAATATTTTAATTTCCAGGTGCAATAGAGCCTATGAGGTGAAGATGAATGAAGGTTGTCCTGATGTTTTCCAGAAACTGCTCACAGGATGGCTCTGATAAAACCACTAGGAGCACAACTGCATGTAATGAGGTACCAAAAGTTAATGTTGTGCATTTGTGGTACTGTTCATGAAGAGCAGTACCAAAAATGTTTAATACATTTTTGACATAGGATAAAAACTGGCACAATGATGACTTAAATTACTTTTTGCCGTTTACCCAGCTGAGGGTTTCTTTGAAGAAATAATTTTAAGACTGAGATGCCAGTAACCTATATTGTTTATGTTCATTACACAAGTATAATGCAATTTTTAATTAAAATGGGTGAAATGTTCTTTTCAGCATATAGGTAGCTGCAGATGAATATTCAAGTGCAAAACTGTCGTGGTTAAAATTCATTGCCTCAAGTAAGTAATTATGATTTGTCAAGTAATCACAGCTATTAATAATACGAAAGTATCTGAAACTCCAGAGGGCTAGGGCCATTTCCTGTTAAATTACCTGTGTGTGTCAGGACTATGATTTCTTTTTGATTTTTGACTAGGGAGTGGTTTTCACTGTTGGTTTCTAATTTTTTTTTTTCCCCCTAGAGGCATGCAATTGGAAGGAAAAAAGAATTGGTCAAGAAGACATGAAACAGATGAAGATTAATATTTTATTTAACATTGATCACCTCACAATAAATTATGTAGAAAAATACATGTTTGAGTACTTGTAATTGCTAGGCAAGTAAAGTCTATTATCTTTAAAAAATATCAAATGTTTAAACAGTTCCATTTTCATAATCACTAGTCAGACTTGGTTTTGTTTTGTTTTTTAAGATTTTATATATTTATTTGACAGAGATAGAGCAGGAACACAAGCAGGGGGAGTGGGAGAGGGAGAAGCAGGCTTCCTGCGGAGCAGGGAGCCTGATGTGGGGCTCGATCCCAGGACCCTGGGATCAGTGACCTGAGCTGAAGGCAGATGCTTAACAACTGAGCCACCCAGGCGCCCCATCAGACTTGTTTTTAACATACTTTAAGTATAGTATGTTCTTGTCAATAACTAGCTCATTTGTGAACCGATGCCCTTTCTTGCCTTGGGATTTCAGCAAACTAGAAAACCATGGAGGTATACCTAAAAAATAAGTATTTGTAATCTCCTAAACACCTTAATGAATTCTCTCTTACAAGTAAAGATTTCACCTGTGACCTACAGTTTGTTTAAAATTTAAGTCTTATTTTATTCTTTTTTACCTTTGAATAAAAAAGTAATCCTGGGGTGCCTAGATGGTGCAGTTAGTTGGGTATCTGACCCTTGGTTTCTGCTCAGGTTGTGAGATGAAGCCCATCGTCAGGCTCTGCACTGAGCTTTGAGTATGCTTAGGTTTCTTTCCTCTCCCTCTGCTCCCCTCCCTCGCTTGCTCTCATGAATAAATCTTAAATGATAATAAAAAATTTTTTAAACAATTGCTCTGGGAAAAAAAGTAATTCAGGTCCTAGTACAAATAATGTTACCTGAAGGAAAATAGTGACTGGACAGTCCAGTCTGTCCAGGACTTGAGGGTTTACAAGAATTCTAAAACTAGGGGCTGCCTGGGTGGCTCAGTCGGTTAAGTGTCTGCCTTCAGTTCACCTTCAGTTCAGGTTATGATCCCAGGGTCCTGGGATGGAGCTGCTCTCTGCTCAGTGGGGAGTCTGCTGCTCCCTCTCACCTTTTGTGCTCTCTCTCAAATCTTAAAGAAAAAATTCTAAAACTGAATTTCTAACTGGAGACTTAGGTAAATCTTGCTTTTCCCCTGTTGAGTCCCACAGCATATCAATTACCTGCCTTTATCCAAGTTACAATTTCACTATGGCAAGTCAAACAGTACAAAACCTATACAGCAACAAAGAAGCCACAAAGTAAGGTCTTGACTAGAATTACAGAACTAATAAGTAAATTGTTTTTAAAAAACTAGCTTTGCTTTCTGAATGTAAGTGTCTGGGACTAGTGAATATTCACTATTTTTGAATGATATGTCAAAGGTCCATAGAGAGATGGTTAAGCTCCATGAGGTACCAGTTTCCAAAGAATCAGCATGGTAGTATCTGGGTAAAATAGGTGGCAATTTTGTGATGACATTTTCCTTTTAGTAAGATTTATTTATTTTAGAATTTCTCTCAAGCTTTGGAAAATGAAAAGGATTTGGGGATTTTACAAGTTAAGTATATTTTCTCACAGTCTTACTCTCCCCAACCCACCCCCTGCCTCACCTTTCAGAGTAGATCTTTTCCCTCCAAAAACAAACTGGGTTTGCAAATTGGTTTCTTCACCTTTTGGTACCTTTCCTGTAACCAATTAGGTTTAAAGAGCCAATTCTTGCTCTTTGATTTGATTTAAATTCCTTTTTTTTTTTTTTCCATTTAACCTGGCTTAGAAAATGGGAAATATACAAGCTTTCCCTTACTCCATAATTAGGGCTTCCAAAATGATATAATGGACATAACACTATATAATAAAGTATGAAAGCTCCTTAAATTTGAGGCTTCTGTTAAAAAATTGCTGTTACCATTTGTCAGGTTCACAGGTGCAAGAAAAATGGTTTAAAATGATTATTTGTAGGTAAATGTTCTCATTTAAAGTGTTGTTGCCATCTTGTGACAAATAGTGGGAACTGCACAAAAGTGATATTTTACATTGCTTAGTTTGTAAATCTTTCGTCCTGAGACCATATTTCATACATTCAGGATAGCGGTCTAACATACTACTGTACACAGTACTACCTGAAGCATTACTTCAGAATCACATTTAACTTAAATATGAAGAAAATCGTGTCCTCAGATTGGCTATTCATCACTAGTGAAAAGAGTTGTCCCAGGTCCGTATGTGGCAATAAACTGTTGGAGCTGCTGTTGGCACTGAGTCAAATAGATATCCCTTTGCTCTAAATATTCTTCGTTATACAATTCAAATGGAAATACTGCATTTGGAGCAACACAAAATACAGTGGCCCCTAAGTAAAGAGGGAAAAAAGTGTAAATGAGAATTCCTTAAAATGCTAAATGTGTGGGGCGCCTGGGTGGCTCAGTCGTTAAGCAACTCTTCGGCTCAGGTCATGATCCTGGGGTCCTGGGGTCCTGGGATCGAGCCCTGCATCGGGCTCCCTGCTCCGCGGGAAGCCTGCTTCTCCCTCTCCCACTCCCCCTGCTTGTGTTCCCTCTCTCACTGTGTCTCTCTGTGTCAAATAAATAAAATCTTAAAAAAAAAAATGCTAAATGTGAAATCACATTTTCAACAAAATAGTTTTTAAAATTAAGTTCTGACTTATTTAATAGGACTTTTTTTTTTTTTTAAATAAAGATTTTATTTGTCAGAGAGCACAAGCAGGGGGAGTGGCAGGCAGAGGGAGAAGCAGGCTCCCTGCTGAGCAAGGAGCCTGATGTGGGACTCAATCCCAGGACCTTGGGATCCAGCTGGGATCATGACCCGAGCTGAAGGCAGACACCTAACCGACTGACTCAGGCATCCCTTAATAGAATATTAATAATCATGTAAAGCTGACCTGTTTTTGAGACTCATGAGACAGTTTTGGTACATGCACAAACTTACCAGCGCCAAGAAGAAATACGTTGATTACATTTTAAAGCTTTGAAACTACAGAAATTTGTTATCTCTTGACGTAATCATTACAGTTTTGAACCCGAATAGTGATGTGAGGAGGTGGAAGTAGTAGGGAGAGAAGGTATTAGAAGGTAGGGAAACACTTTGATAAAGGTTAAATGGATGATTGAGGATAAAGACATCATTGTATGTGTCACTGTTGATTCAATGAATGAGCACCTACACTGTGACTGGCCAGGTGTACAGTTGCTAGCCAAGCAGACAGTGCCTTTCTTCCTAGATCTGTCTGTCCTCAGTAAATACTTACATAGCCTCAGACTTCTGCCACTGCTCCCTTATTACTCTCTTTATCTTACCTGAATCTTTGCTGTCCCTTGAGAACACTGGCTTCTTCCCTGTGGCTCTCTCAGGTGAAGCTGCTTTTTCTCAAAACACCTCATACCTTAGTATCACAAGACAGAGACAGTGCCTAACTTGCTGCCCCCTTGCAGCTACCAGACCATTCTCACCCCTGCTTTCCTCTGAATAAAAATCTTTCCTCTAATGCCCAGTGCCCCCTGGGCTTATTACCCTTTCCCTTCCATGGTAAAGTCATCAACCAGTTCTCAGCACATGGCTCACAATCTTCCTCTCTTCCCTAATACCTTGCCGTTCAGTGATTTCCATGTGAATTACTCGTTTAATTCCAGACCTCCCTGTCTTGACCTTTTCCCTTCTACCTCCACTATGCATAGTAAGGTCACAGGAAACTGGTATCACCAAAAACTTAAAAACCATTAGTTCAAATGTCCCCTTTCCCTACACTACCTACTTCCAGCTTCTAGGTCTTTTATCTCCAAGGCTTCTAATCAGCTTCCTTCAATTCACTTTCCTTTTTTAACCTATTTAAGAATCTCTCCCAAGCCAGTCCCCCAACTCCCTTGCCCCCTGCAACACTCTGTCACACTCGCCTATCAAAACCTCAACTCTGCATGAGCCCAACCGTTTGCTTTATGCCTGCACTCGGGCTGCTAGACAGAAAATCACCTAATTGGCATTTCTTGGTTTCACTTTAAATGAATCAGAAACCTCAAATGGATGGGCACTTGAACTGCCAGACAACCCTGCTGGGTTTGTCTAGCACAACTGTTCTTCTGTCCCCCACAACGTGACTATTATATTCCATTCTCTCCTCAAACGTTTTGTTTTTAGCTGATGACCTTGTGTAGAGTATATGACCAAATCGACAGACCTGATTCTGTATCCATTTGTCTTCCCTCCTATAATATCGCTCGGCATCAGGGAAATCCAAATCTGAACTGACTTTTCTATTAGAGGCCAATACCTACACATGTGCTTTGGATCCCATCCTCTCTCACCTTTTAAAGGATTTTAATCCTTTGATCTTCCCCTGATTCTGTAGTATCATTAGTTTATTCTCTGTTGCACATAAGATCTATTTATTCTTAAAAAAAAAAAAAAAAATCCTCGGGAGCCTGTTAAACGGTTAAGCGTCGCCTTCGACTCAGGTCATGATCCCAGGGTCCTGGGATCAAGTCCAGCATCAGAGTCTGCTTCTCCCTCTCCCTCTACTGCTGCTTCTCTCTCTCCCTCCCTCTCCCTTCCTCCCTCCCTCTCTCTCTATCAAATAAATAAAATCTTCTTAAAAAAATCCTTTCTTGGACCACACATCCTTCTCTGGCTAATACCCTATTTTTCTTCCCCATCTTTATAGTCAAACATCTCAAAGTTGTCTATGTGCTATTTCCATATCCTCACTTCTTATCCCACCCAAATCCCACTCCACTGAAGTAGCTCTGATCACTGACACCTATATCCCCTAGGTTGCCAAATCTAATCTTTTATAACCACACGTGATTTTCTTTCTACATTTTAGCTGCTACTTCTCAGTAGCAGCTCTCCTTTGTTAGTTCCTCCTCCTCAACCCCATTTCTAAATATTGGAATTCTTCAAGGGCCATCCTTGGAGTTCTTAGTATAGTCTCTCTCTAGGTGATTTCAGGTGATTTCATCCATTCCATGGCTATGAGTACCATCTCTGTGCCGATGGTTCCCAAATTAAATTTCTAAATTAGAACTCTCATCTAAACGATTCTTGTATCTGTCTATTGGTATCTCTGTAGGATGCCTCAAACTTATATCTATCATTTGGTTTTTCTCCCAACCCTTTTTCTCTTTTTTTGCTAGTCTTGGCAAATGACACCATGATCCACTCAGTTGCTCAAGGCAGAAGCTTGGGAGTTCTTCCCTCTGCCCCAGCTTCTAAATCTAGTTCATGAGCCAACCTATTGGTTTTTGTATCCAAGAAAAATGTCCCTGAGTAGGGATCAATTTCCAGCTGTTATTTTTTTCCCCTTTTTTTCCAATTTCTTATTATGTTTAAAGTAACATTTAAGGAGGTTTAACATTGTTTTTTGCTTAAGACTTAAAAATCTTTTTGGGGTGCCTGGGTGGCTCAGTCGTTAAGCGTTTGCCTTTGGCTCAGGTCATGATCCCAGGGTCCTGGGATCGAGCCCCACATCAGGCTCCCTGCTTGGCGGGAAGCCTGCTTTTCCCTCTCCCACTCCCCTGCTTGTGTTCCCTCTCTCGCTGTGTCTCTGTCAAATAAATAAATAAAATATATTTTTTTAAAACATTCATTTTTTAATTTTTTTTTTAAGATTTTATTTATTCATCTGAGACACAGAGATAGAAAGAATGAACAGGGGGAGAGCAGAGGGAGAGGGAGAAGCAGGCTCCCCGCTGAGCCAGGAGCCCAATGTGGGGCTCAATCCCAGGACCCTGGGATCATGACCTGAGCTGAAGGCAGAGGCTTAACCATCTGAGCCACCCAGGTGCCCCGAAAGCATTTTTGATAAAAAACTAACACACATTTTTTTAATGTACTATAACGAAAAATTGCTGCCTATTTTACTATGGTATGCCATCGAAATTGTTAAGACACAACAAGAGCGGTACCTGGGTGTCTCAGTCGGTTAAGCGTCTGCCTTCAGCTCAGGTCATGATCCCAGGGTCCTGGGATCAAGTCCTGAATGGAGCCCTGCAGAGGGTTCCGTGCTCAGTGGAGAGTCTGCTTCTCCCTCTCCCTCTGCTCCTCCCCTCCTCCTCTCTCTCTCAAATAAATAAAATCTTAAAAAAAAAAAGACAACTAGATATCAATAAGAAGACAAAAATGTGTGTCTTTGAACTTAAAAACTATGGTATTATAATATTAAGGACTCCTGTGGTAGAATATGGCAATTTTCACTTGGTAATCATTTTGTCAAGACTTTCTTGAAGCATTTAAGAAAGCATTTGCTGAGGAAAATAAAACTCTGTGAAGATTTTTTTTCCTTTAGTTACTTTTTGTTTTCATAATGAATTTGATTTTTTTTAGTTTACTTTTTTAAATTTATTTTTATTTTATTATGTTAATCACCATACATTACATCATTAGTTTTTGATGTAGTGTTCCATGATTCGTTGTTTGCGTATAACACCCAGTGCTCCATTCAGTACGTGCCCTCTTTAATGCCCATCACCAGGCTAACCCATCCCCCGCCCCCCTCCCCTCTAGAACTCTCAGTTTGTTTCTCAGAGTCCATAGTCTCTCATGGTTCATCTCCCCCTCCTATTTCCCCCCCTTCATATTGATTTTTAAGTCTTTTTTTTTTTAAAGAATTTATTTATTTGAGAGAGAGAGACAAAGAGCAAGAGAGAGCGAGCAAGCACAAGCCAAGGGTGGGGGCAGGTAGAGGGAGAGGAAGAAGCAGAGAGCCCGATGTGGGGCTTGATCCCAGGACCCTGAGATCGTGACCTGAGCCAAAGGCAGACGCTTAACGAGTGAGCCACCCAGGCGCCCCAGAAAGAATGCTTTTAAGTACAGAATAAGAAGAACGTAAAAGATAGGGACACATGGCTGGCTCAGTCAGTAGAACATGGACTCTTGACCTCAGGGTTGTAAGTTTTGGGGTCCTCAAAAAATAAAATCCTAAATAAATAAATAAAATATTTATTTTAAATATTTAAAAAATATTTAAAAAATAAAAAAAATAAAACCTAAAAAAATAAAATCTTAAAAAAAGAAGAATATAAATGATAAAGCAAATTAAAAATAAAAATATTTTTGTATCATTCCTCTTATTTAGTATTGGTTGGGAACCAATGTTTATCTCTTTTAGTACATAAAATTAATTCAGGATGGTAATTAACTTTTTCTGGGGATCATGAACCTATAAGACATACTTAATAAAACTTACCATTCATTTCTGAGCATAAAGGTGTAAAGCACATACATACAAAAATTTTTACAGAATTTAGAGATTCATGAGCCCCTAGAACTCCCTTCGTATTCATGAATCCCAGGTTAAGAATGCTTGATTTAGATAATTATAGAACAAAGTTCTAATGTTCTAATGAATCTTTGCAAAAAGTTATTACCATATAAATTGAGTTTAAGACAAATTTAAGCACTGAACATATACACACAGAAAAGTCAGTGTTAATACATCCTTTAAGTCCCAAGGTTGGGACCAAAGTTTGGTTTCAAGGATGGTAATATTTTATCAAAATTAATGTCTCATCCAATTCAACAAAGACCTTTGTGAGAATAACTCTCTTTACTCTTACTGTAAGAGCCCTTTTATGTTTTTATTAACAAAACCATAATAAACTCATATTCATTTCAAATAATTAAAAGCTATAGTCACATGATTGGTATAGCTAGCAATTCAGAAAGGTGGTGATGCCAGATGATCACATTTTCTTTGGCTATGTGCCTAACTCCATTGAGGGGGGCTGCTTGGAAATTAAATGTTGCATGTTATTTTAAAAGGAAGATGAATTTAAAATCACTTCATGTGTTGAATTAAGTACATGTTTTTTCAGAATTCTATAAGTGTTGCAAAAGTTTAAATATCCAAGCAATCATGCACCATAAGGAACTTAACAGATGATACTACCTATAAACAATCAGTAAGTGTTCAAATTCAAACAGGCCTTACCTGATAAAAATTTATTATTCTTTAAAATAATACTTAAGATATATATAACATTTTATTTTAACAGACTAAGAATATTTAAATATAATTATTTATAGTGACCATTGACAAATTTGGGGTGCCTGGGTAACTCAGCCGTTAAGCGTCTGCCTTCGGCTTAGGTCATGATCCCAGGATCCTGGGATCGAGCCCTCCATCGGGCTCCCTGCTCCGTGGGAAGCCTGCTTCTCCCTCTCCCACTCCCCCTGCTTGTGTTCCTGCTCTCGCTCTCTCTCTGTCAAATAAATAAATAAAATCTTAAAAAAAAAACAAAACAAATTAATAGATTACCATATTTCAGTGTGAGAGATGTTTCAAATAATAAGGCTGCAATTAGTGCATCTTCTTTAAGCACTTTATTCCTTAAGTTCAGTCGAGCATGGGATTCAGCTAGGGAAACTCTGAAAAAGAAAACTGATGCTAATCAAAATATGTTGATATTATAAAGATAATATATATTTTGGCAGGAACAAACCAAGACATATGTGTACATAAGCCATACCTTAAAGATCAGCATATTTTTACTTAAAAAAAATTCAGTTTCTTTTCAAAGCATGTTTTTCCTACCAAGTTCAATAGACTATTCCAGAACAAGCAAATATCCTGACTTGTTATCAAAGATTTGGTTTCCACCCTGACTTGTCTTTATTTTCATTATTCTACACCCTCTTCCCCAAGTTCTGTTCAGATAAATACACAGTTGGGAAAATTAACGTAACTAAATATCTCTTATAGATATCTTTGGTGTTTTCTTCCAGTTCTTCATCTATTTAAAGTCCTCATAGAATCTTGAAATTTTAGTTTTGGAAGAGACCTTAAAGTTCAGACTCCCATCAGATAACTGAATTTTCTCTACAATATCTCAGGCTACTTATTGTCCAGTCTCTTTTGAACTTTTCCTAGGGCTCACTAGGAAGCCAGTCCTTTATCTTTTATTTTTAAACTAACTTTTGATTACCTAAAAAATCTCCCTCAAGCTCTCATTTGGCATATGTAATGTATTTGAATGATTGCTGAACTTGGAAATCAGAAAACCTGGGCTAAGTCTTTAGAATTTACTAGCTGTGTGACTTCATATTTACTTTCTGGGATTTTTTTGAAGCTCAGGTATAAAATGGGGACAATAATAATTCACAGTTATTATGATTTCAAATGAAGCATTTGAAAATTTTGGGCCTCACCCACAAAGATTATATAAATTTAAGCTGAAATTGGTTTCACTGAAATTTCTACCCACTGGTCCCTGGTTCTGTTTTCTGAGATTATAAAACAAGCCTAATACTTCTTAAATATGACAGCTCTTCAAATATTCAAAGAAAAATTTCCTAATTGCCCTACATTTTCTTTTCTCTAAGATAAAATATTCCTAGCTCTTTTAATATGTCATAAGACATCATTTTCAGGCCCTTCACCATTCTGGCTACTTTCCTCATGACCAGATTTGGTTAATATTCTTTTTCAGTACCGTACTACAGGTGTGATTTAACCAACAATGTAGAGGTGAGGCAGAACAAGCATTTTTTTTTTTACTCTAGATACTATATTCTATTAACACAACCTGAATTCACAGTATTATTAAGAGCCATATTAAATTGTTTACCCATATTAAACATAAAAAGAATGAAACCTCAAGTTTTTTTCATATTAAGACATCAACCTTTTCTTATCCATTCATACTTGGTTAGACCAAGATCATCCTTTGAGTCTATGGAGATCTCTCCAGAGTTATTTTCAAATTTGACTATAATGTTCCTGATGCCCTCACCTAAGCTCCTTCTAAAAATGTTGACCCCAAATGAATATGTATAAAGCTTTTCAGGGCAAGAAAAGAGTACCATTCAGCTCTACTCTAGAAAAGCAAGGATGGTGTTATTAGGTAACTGTCTATAGAAGAAGCAGGAGAAAAATTTAAAGTTTATGACTCTTCTGAGTTCACTTTGTTATTTCCTAAACTCCATCTCCACTTCTAGTGTTTATTTCTACAATGGGAAGAAGTAGAGTTATCACATTAAATTTAACTCTGCTTTATTTTTGGATCAATATAGTCAAATGTAAACTGAGGGGGCGCCTAGGTGGCTCAGTTGTTAAGCATCTGCCTTCTGCTCAGGTTGAGCCCTGCACCGGGCTCCCTGCGTCGGGCTCCCTGCTTGGTGGGAAGCCTGCTTCTCCCTCTCCCCCTGCTTGTGTTCCCTAACTGTGTCTCTCTCTGCCAGATAAATGAATAAAATCTTAAAAAAAAAAAAAAAAACCACAAAAAAACAAATGTAAACTGAGATATGAATTTAAATATCTTTTTGCTACAGAGAAAAAAAATAAGAAAATAGGATTTTCAAAGCTTTGACTATTTGAGTATTGATTCGAGTATTTTATTTTATTGTTTAAAAAAAATTTTTTTTAAGTAGGCTCCATGTCCGATGTGGGGTTTGAACTCATGACCCCAAGAACAAGAGTTGCATGGTTCACCAACTGAGCCAGCCAGGCACCCCTGATTTGAATATTTTAAATATTCCTTCAGAAAATGGAAAACATAACAAAATTTCGTTCACCATTTTAAAACATCACAGTTGACTTCTGCCTTATCTTATCTTCAGCACTTTTTTTCAGGTCTATGAAGATAAATATACAGCTAGGAAAGTTAACTAAATATATTTATCTTTTGGAGACCTCTATCTGACATTTCCTGCCAGTCCTTCACTTATTTTATATTGCAGTTATAACAAGATATTTATTTATTTAATGGATTATTTTACCCCTGGTCCTACTTCATGATTTGTTTGAAATTACACATTAATTTAGAAGTAATGGTTTATCAATAGGGGACTGTTTAAATTGTGGTACAGCCACACTGGAACACAGTAAAACTATAATGCAGCTATTAAAACAGAATAAGGTAATTCCTTATGTTCTGATAGTATTATAATATAATATGTAAACCATGCATGATTCCACTTGGGCAGAAGAAAAAGATCTATCCATATGAATATATATTTATATTTAGATCTTTCTCAACTTACAATGGGTTTACATCCCAATAAACCCACTGTAAACTAAAAATACCATGTCAAAAATGTATTTAATACACCTAATCTACCAAACATAGCTTACCCTAGCCTACCTTAAAAGTGCTGAAAACACATTAGCCTACAGTTGGGCAAAATCATCTAAACAAAGCCAATTTTATAATGAAGTGTTGACTATCTCACATATTTTATTGAATACTGCACTGAAAGTGAAGCACAGAATGGCTGCATGGATACAGAATGGTGCCTGTGTACCAGTTGTTTACCCTTTTAATCTTGTGGCTGACTGGGAGCTGCAGCCCATTGTTCAGTAGGAGAGAGTATCCTACTGCATATTGCTAGCCGGGAAAAAGAAATTCAAAATTCAAAGTATGATTTCTACCGAACATGTACATTTTCACACTATTATGAAGTTGAAAAATCATAAGTCGAACAATCCTAAGTCGGGGACCGTCTATACATATAATATGTTTAAGTAACATATTCATCTAAAAATATATAGCATATTCAAATAAAGTATGTATTTAATATACATCATATATTTAAATTACATATGTTTGTACATGCTAGTATTTGAATGGATAAGTTTTGGAAAAATACACAAAAACTGTTAACAGTGATTATCTCTCTAGAGAGTGGGACAGCAATGGGTAGAGTTAGCTGGACACCTTACTCATTATTTTGGACTTTTACTGTGTCCATCCTTTACTTTTATAATAAAAATTAGTTTTTAAAAATAACTTTTCAAAGAACAATAATAGATGAGTCTATTGAAGTATTTAAAAGTACAGGGAACAATGTACTTAAAAATAATTTTTTCTAGGTTCGACTAAAAAATACCTGGAATATAAAAAAGCCATATTTTAAAAAACAATCATTTGCATTTGAAATCAGTGCACTTTACTTAGACACATTTTATACAGAGGTTCTGATATAAAAATAATTTCATGAAAACAAATATTGGAGGTTCAAATGATGTAACAATATAACAAAAGGAATTGTTATATCACCTTAAAATCTTTTAGAGTAAGGTAAATTATAAACCAACCAACTAGCAATCAAAGAAAGAAAGAAACAAGTGAAACATAAATAAATTAATTAAACACATCATTTAAAAGTCAATACTGGCTTTAAAATTTTAGATTGAATACCTACAAGTATTTTAATGCAGATGCTGACAGTTTTGATCCACTTATAGAATCTGTTCTGATTCTTCGACTTGCTAGATAATAGCCATGAATCATTCTTTCTGCCTCCAAACTGAATTCTACATTCAAATTCTTTGCAAAAGCCAGCAGCTAAATTAAAAGTGTGAAAAATTTAAGAAATTCAAACTTAAATTCGAACTTTATTATAAAATCTTTATTACAAAAATCCAAAGTTTGCATATTTTATTTACATCAAAGTTGATTAAATATCTGGGACCATCTCAAAGTCATTGAGCACTTTAAATCATCGTCTTATACTTGTAAATATTGTTAAAGTTTAGCCAGAGTAATCTCTTCCTCCCTCTTAGTGCAGAAATGTTCTGTGCAACATATTTGAATGCGGATCAAGGCTTTGCTTCCAGTGGAGTAAAGGCTCACTTAGACCCTTTCAGTGGGAGAGAGGCTTCCCCCAGCAGTTCATTTCCCTTTGAATAGCTTTAATTCTTTGACTATTTATTTCCTTAAAACTTTCTCTCATGGGCCGTAGAGCTACCTGCCTTCACGTTACTTCTTTTCCTTCCTTTTAAAGAACACAGCTGAACGCTAGCAATGTGGGAGGCACTGTGTTAACCACTATGAAGGTGGGCCTTGGAGATTAAGACTTCCAGGAAAGAACAAGCCTTCAACATAATGATTAGCCCTGTCTTCTCTGAGCTTTGTGCTTTTTTTCTTTCTGAGGACTCCCAGTCCCTTAAATCCTTAATTTGTGACATCATTTCCAGACTTTTCACTACCCTGTTTGTTTTCTGCTTTTTCAACTTAGAATCGAAAGGAAAATTTAATCATAATAAGGTTGCTATTAACTATAATATTATATTTTAAATACAACTTTTTATTTTTTATTTTTTTTAAGATTTATTTATTTATTTATTTGACACAGAGAGAACGAGAGAGAGACAGAGAGCAAGCACAAGCAGGGGGGACGGCAGGCAGGGGAGAAGCAGGCTCCCCACTGAGCAAGGAGCCCGATGTGGGGCTCGATGTGGGGCTCGATGTGGGGCTCAATCCCAGGACCCTGGGATCATGACCTGTGCTGAAGGCAGACACTTAACGGACTGAGCTACCCAGGCGCCCCCTAAATACAATCTTTTAAAGGATCTGGATATGTCCTGTATTAGGTATGTCCTGTCTTCTTTATTCTCCTTACACTCCACAGTTCCCTCTAGACCTTAAGAACTGAATAATAATATTATTAATAATCTCAGTAGCCCTCTCTAGGTTTTATCCTATGGAGTCACAGTAATGTGCCACCTATCTCCCCCTTCAGGAAAGGATTTGCTCCCAGCTCCTGGGAGTGCTGTCAGCATTGGCCTCTAGGTATCAACCTCTTTAGGGAATGCCTCAAGAAAGCCCATATCAAATGACTGAGGTAGAAGTGGGGCAAGTGTTACCAAAAAAGTCTATTTCTGTCCAAAGCAAAACAATTCTGGGTGGGTCTCTTTAACTCCAGAGCTCATTGTAGGGCTACCTTTGGGCCTGCATCATAGGTTGACTCCTTTCTCTGCTCAATCCTGTTTCCTTCTCCCTTCCACAGGTATTAATAGAAGAGCTAGAAGAGCACTCCTGAATAAACAATGGCACACTAAATTCATCTTGGTCAGCCTCCTGGAGAGCCCAGGCTCTGACACACTACATCCAATCTGTTTTGTGTAATGGACAAATTTATCTTCTGGAGAAATCATTTTCACTGTTTCACAACTCTAATAAAGTCCAACTGTTCTCTACAGTCTGAGGAATCAACTATAAATTTTTTTGCCTGAGCTTCAAGGCTTATTGTAAATTTGCCAAATCCTAATCCCAATGACTCTAGTTTTTGCTCCAGTCAGCTATGTCTTCTCATAGTTTTCCATGTATATTCATTTCTACTTCTGTCTTTGCTCCTACTTTCATTCCTGTTTAGGATGTCCATCCTTCCTGTCATCTAAATCTTACCTTTTCTTGAGGCTCAACTAAGGTCTCACCTTTTTTTTTTTTTTAAGATTTTATTTATTTGGCAGAGAGAGACACAGCGAGAGAGGGAACAGAAGCAGGGGAGTGGGAGAGGGAAAAGCAGACTTCCTGCCAAGCAGGGAGCCCGATGTGAGGCTCAATCCCAGGACCCTGAGATCATGCCCTAAGCTGAAGGTGGACGCTTAACCAACTGAGCCACCCAGGTGCCCCAAAATCTCACCTCCTTGAAGTCTTCCCAATTCTTGCATTCTACTTGACATCTTCCTTCCTGAATTCCTAAAATACTTAGAGTTAGCACCACCCAGGTTAGCACTTAAACTGTCCCTTAATGGTTTCTTGTATCTTATTTTTGTCTCAATTAAATGAAAAACTATTTAAAGAAGATTTATTTTTCTGTGAGAACATAAAAGAGCAGAAGTAGGCTCATATATATAAAGGATTCAGTAAATAATAAATCCCAAGGGGTTTTGTTTGTTTGTTTTTCAGAGAAAAACTGGGCAAAAATTTCTCTAGGTCATTAGTGTGTCGGTATATTTAGTACCCTAATTCCTAGAGATTAACTACTTTTTTTCTTATATATTAAAACAAACAGGAGTGCCTGTGTGGCTCAGTCGGTTAAGTGTCTGACTCTTGATTTCGGCTCAGGTCATGATCTCAAGGTTGTGAGATTGAGCTCCATGTTGGGCTCTGTGTTGGTCATGGAGCCTGCTTAGGATTCTCTCTCTTGGGGCACCGGGGTGACTCAGTTGGTTAAGTTCCTGCCTTTGGCTCAGGTCATGATCTCAGGGTCCTGGGATTGAGCCCCACATTGGGCTCTCTGCTCAGCAGGGAGCCTGCTGCTCCCTCTGCCTGCCTCTCCCCCCTGCTTGTGTTCCCTCTTTCTCTCTGTCAAATAAATAAATAAAATCTTAAAAAAAAAAATTCTTTAAAAAAAAAAGATTCTCTCCCTCTGCCCCTCCCCCAAATATAAATAATAAAAAATAAATCAATAAAACAAAAATACCTGATTTACCATATTCTTTTTCTGTTCTAAGCTATGTGAATAAACAATGCTCATAATTCCGTTTTAAGTCCACCTCAATTTTCCTTTTACCCATGCAGTCTACCTACAAGGAAGGCAGGTATGAAAAAAAAATTTTTAATGACTCATAGATTCCCACTCCCAGTATTCCTGCCCTTTATCTATCCTATCTAGGTACTTTAACTCTACTGTGGATAGATTTCTCAATAGTCAATATTACAAGGGTGTCACTTGTAGATACTTGTGTACCTTTAATAGCTACAAAAATCATTACTAATTTATATCACCTACTCTCAGGTTCTCTGAACATGCTGCCCATGTTTTCATGGCAGGACACTGAAATGGGTTAGTGAGTCATGACAGGTATTCTCTAAAGTCAGAACTCGGAAGGCATTTATATAAAGTAAATCCCTTTGAATAATCTGTAAAATGTAAATAACTGTATACCTGTATAGCCTCTCATCATAATTTTCCATAGAAATATTCTATTGGTTTTCTTTTTATTGAGATTTTTTAAAGCTATTTGGACAGAGGTGCAAAGAATTAACTCAACATTTTAATATTTATGTCCTTATGCAGTTTTTTATTTATTTATAATCCTAAATATTTTCTATACAATGTCCTTAAAATATTTAAAGGCTGAAAGTGACTTGGAATAAAAGAAATCTAAATAAAGAAAACTGAGAGCTCAAGTGAGTTCTATTTCAATTGAGAAACATTGCACAAGTATGCTTGGTACTCATTTTTCCTACCTGTACCTTTTCAAAATCTTCAGTTGTGAACTTCTTAGAAGCTACATAAAGCTGCCCTTCAGGATCAATGGCTTTCTTTAAAGTATGTTGCACAGTAGAAAGAAGTGGGTAGCAAGGAGATGATTCATTGCAGCTAATCAATAATCCAAATGCCTCTAGGAGATTAGCTGGAATCAAACTGCAATCCTACATCAAATGAAAATGTAAAAGACAAACATTAAATTCTGGCATTTCCACAAACACTTTAGAAATAATTATAAATTAAGTATTGTTTATAATTATTTAAATTATTAACATATTTATATTATTAAAATATTTTATTATATTAAATTATATAACTATTTTTGTTTTATTATTTGTTACTACTAATTATTATTTAAAGTGATTCCTGAGTATCATGGGAACTTAATATGACCAATTTTTTGAATGCTCCTTATTATTTTCTTACACATTATTCATTAAAGCCTACTCTACTGCCTATTCAAATAATAATTTCTACTAAACAGACACCCACTTTGCATGACTAAAAAAATGAAAATTTTCAAACAATTGCATCATTATTTAGTTCTAGTACCCGATTAAAGATAGAAATGGGTTAATAAAACATTAAGAACAAAAACATTGAGATTAAAATCTGTGATTAAATTCCCTGAACAACATTCTAAAAATAAAATATACATATACCTTACCATCTGACCAATTAGAGTGTTGGTTTTCTGCATATTCTTCCTTGAAGATGAATCCATATCAACAAAAGACCAAAAACTGCACTGAACTGGAAAAGTCATTTGTTGATTAACATCATCCCCAAACTTCTTTCCTGGGATGTATACTGTGATGCTTCTGCTTTCCACAACTAAGTCAAAAGACATTATGCATTTACTATTTAGGTTCATTTTGGTCTATATATCCACAAATTAATAACAGATATTATTGTATAGAATTTTACTCTCTAAATGTTGGACAGTAAAGACACAAGTAAATTTGGTTGTTTTGTAAGATGTGGCTAAATTAGAGGATCTGCCATAAAAAGAACAAGAAAAATATTTGAACGTTTATGTGTCCCATGACTTAATGAGAACAATAGTCTAAAGCATATAGCTGGAATTATGGTCAGTGTCTGGGTGGAATAGGCAGAGGGTTAAGAGACTGGTCATGTAGGTCATGCTTACAAGGGGAGCTGAAATTAAGCAATGTTCTTTTATGTGGGAAAAAAAGAAAGCAGGACATGCATGTAAGAGTAAAAGAGGGTAAGACTTAGAGAAAATATAAACTACAATGACTAGGGGAAAATATATCTCAAATCCAACATGTTAAAAACCAAATTCATCATTTCTTCTCCTCAAATGACTCTGTGTGCATTACTCACAATTAGGGGTATCACTATTCAACTACTTAAAGCCCAAATAAAAAATGTAGAAGCAACAAAATCTCCTTTCTATCCATCCTTCACCCCTTATAACCATTCAATCTATAGATTCAATCCAATTCCTAGGATTCTATCTTTCAAATATTTCTCAAATTAGTCTTCTCTTCATTCATGATAACAGAGTCTTTTGTCTATATTTATCTTTCTCTTGGGTCATAAGATAAATATATATTTTTAACTCTATAGAAAGGCCAGAGCAGTTTTCAAAATGGTTGTACTATGTTATACTCTCATCAAAAATATATAGGAATTCCAGTTTTTCCACATCCTTGGTAATATTTGTTGTCAATTTTTAAAATTTTTGCCATTCTAGTAGCCAGGGCCAGCTACTTATTATGTGGGCCCAGTGTAAACTAAAAGTTAATCAAACACAAGGGAAAAGCTGCTGTTAAATGTACTAATATATAAAGCTTTTTCCTTTAAAAATATTTTATTACTGGGGCGCCGGGGTGGCTCAGTCGGTTAAGCGTCTGCCTTCAGCTCAGGTCACAATCTCCAGGTCCTGGGAACCGAGCCCCACATCAGGCTCCCTGCTCTGCAGGGAATCTGCTTCTCTCTCTCTCTCTCTTTCCCTCTGTCCCTCCTCACTGCTTGTTCTCTCTCTCTCAAGTAAATAAATAAAATCTTAAAAAAATATATTTTATTACTTATGAAATATAATAGGACTGATGTGGAGAAATTAGAATCTTCATCCTTTACTGATCGGAATGTAAAATTGCATAGCCACTGTGGAAAATGGTTTGGTGGTTCCTCATTAGGTTAAACATAGAATTACCTTATAATCCAGCAATTCCACTTCTAGGTATATACCCAAGGGTTGAAAGTAGGGACTCAAACAGATACCTGGACTCCAATGTTCAGAGCAATATTATTCACAATAGCCAAAAGATGGAAACAACCTAAGTGACCCTCAACAAATGAATGAATTTTTTTTAAGTGGTATATATATAAAATGGAATCTTATTTAACAATAAGAGATCTTGAATAGACAAATTCATAAAGACAGAAAGTAGAATAGAATTTACCAGGGGCTGGAGGTAGGAGGGAATAGGGAGTTATTGTATAATAGGTACAGAGTTTCTTTTTTTCTTAAAGATTTTATTTATTTATTTATTTGTCAGAGAGAGAGACAGAGAGACAGAGCACAAGCAGGGGGAGTGGCAGGCAGAGGGAGAAGCAGGCTTCCCATTGAGCAAGGAGCCTGATGTCGGACTTGATCCCAGGACCCTGGGATCATGACCTGAGCCAAAGGCAGACGTTTAACCAACCAAGCCACCCAGGCATCCCTGGATACAGAGTTTCTGTTAGGAATTATGAAAAGTTCTGGAAATGGAGAGTGGTAATGATTACATAACATTGTGAATGTGCTTAATGCCACTGAATTGTACACTTAAAAATGGCTAAAATCGTAAATTTTATGTTATGTGTATTTCACCATAGGGGAGAACTCCTTCAACTTGGAAAAAAACATCTACCAAAAAACCTACAGCTAACATCATATTTCATGGTGATAAACTCAAAAGTTTCTTGCAAAGATGAGGAACAAGACAAGGATGTCTCTTTTTACCACAGTTTTTCAGCATCAGAGTGGAAGTCCTAGGTAAAATAATAAGACAAGAAAAGAAATCTGGGCCAATAAAAACTCACATGTTAGCACAACTGAGAGCAAAAGCTAAAACAGTGCATTTGTATATCAAATTCCTCTCTTTTTATTAATGAAGGTAAATGAGAAGTATCATTTAATATAATTTCTCAATTCCTAAAATGTGTACAATACAATCTTAACTGTTAAGTAACTCCTTGACACTGATGAGACTGTAAGTTAAACAGGTAAAAATTAATTAGAAAAAATATTGTTCACCTGATTGAAGCTGTTCTAGTTTATCTTTTTTGTGTGAAGCCAAGTCTCCCATAAAGCAGATACCACCTTTAGCTAGCAAAGCACTGCCAGCTTGAATGCTAACTGCGCCAGTTCCATACTTATTTCTGGATAGAGTAGGAAAAATTTCAGTAGAGACTGGATGACGTATACCACGGGGCACAAGGTTTATACTAAAATTCAAAAGCCTAGGAAAAAATAAATTACTCGTTACTATTATTCAATGTTTGATTTTCAAAAGTGATCATGTGTAACAACTACATAATTAAATTTAATTTGAGTCAGTGTTTAATGAAAATTTTTTCTAATATTTTATTTTTAAGTAATCTCTACACCCAACATGGGGCTCAGACTCACAATCTCGAGATCAAGAGTTGCATGCTCTACTGACTGAGCCAGCCAGGTGCCCCTAATGAGCACCTTTTCTAGGGATAAAAACATATATAAGACATGGTCCTTAACTTAGAAAGCTCACAGCCTAGAAAGAGAGACATAAACAAAAAACTAAAACACAATGTGTTTTCATGAGAACATTCATAGGAGAGTATTATTTCTTCCTGGAAGGAAGTCAGAGAAAGCTACAGAGAGATGACATTTGAACTGGGCCTTCCTCTTTATGGATTGCTTTCTTTTGTTTATTCAGAATTTTCACATTTAGGCTTGCCAGTAGCCCATAATGACTATCCCTGCTGCCTATGTATCATGGTAGCTCTTGATACATCTTTCTGTTTTCTGATCTCTTTGCCAATTGCCTCAGCCCCTTCATTTCTCAAATTTAAATTCTAAGAAAGGATTATGATTGTCTTAGCTTTCAAAACCTTCCCACAGAAATCATAGCTTGCTGGTGCAATCAACTATGATGAGCTGACATAGACATCCAGTGCAAAAGAGGATGAAGCAGTATTCTTTAAATATGGATAGGTAGATGCTATAAAATTTCTAGTGTATATGCCATTCCAAGGAATATGGATGTTAGTTTGAAGATATATAAAATGGGGGAATGAGATTTAGAAAGAAACTTTTGCAAGCCTATAAAGCAGTGGTTTTCAACCCCAGCTCATATTAAAATCACCTGGGGAGATTTTTTAAATTCCAATGTCAAGCCCCACCCCAAACCATTCTTGGGTGAGCCAAAATCATAATTTTTTAAAAAAACTCTCCCAAGTAGGGCACCTGGGTGGCTCAGTCGGTTAAGCATCCGACTCTTGACCTTGGCTCAGGTCTTGATCTCAGGGTCATGGGTTCAAGCCCCATGATGGGCTCCAGGCATGGAACCTACTTAAAAAGGAAAAAAAATTCTCCCTGGTAATTCTAATATGCAGGACAGCTGAGAACCTATTATATAGAACAATGGGTCTCAAACTTGTCTGTCTACACATTGGAATCCAATGAGAAACTTTTAAAAATAGTGATACAAGGGGGCGCCTGGGGGGCTCAGTCAGTTTAACGTCTGCCTTTGGCTCAGGTTGATCCCAGAGTCCTGGGATTGAGCTCCACATCAGGCTCCCTGCTCAGCAGGCAGCCTGCTTCTCCCTCTTCCTCTGTCACTCCCCCTGCTTGTGCTCTCTCTCTCTCTCTGTCAAATAAGTAAAAAAAAAAGATTTTATTTACTTATTTGACAGAAAGACACAGCGAGAGAGGGAACACAAGCAAGGGGAGTGGGAGAGGGAGAAGCAGGCTTCCCGTGGAGCAGGGAGCCCTATGTGGGGCTTAATCCCAGGACCCCGGGATCATGACCTGAGCCGAAGGCAGACACTTAATGACTGAGCCACCCAAGTACCCCAAATAAGTAAATAAAATCTTTCAAAAAAATAGTGAAGGTCACATAATGTAAGATCAAAATACAAAAATCAATTATATTTCTACATATTCATAGCAAACATTTGAAAAATGAAATTAATAAAATACTATTTTTAATAATATCAATATTTTCAAATATTTAGAAATCACTCTAGCAAAACATATGCATGACCTTTACAAAACATTGCTGAGAGAAATTAAGGAAGACTTAAATAAATGGAGATACACACCCATATTCATGGATCAAAAGACTCAATATTGTTAAGATATAAATTCTCACTAAAATTGATTTATATGTAAACATAACATAAAATATATAAGTATGATTTTTATAATTGTTTTAACGGGAACAAAACAACACAGGTTTGAAAACCAATGCTCTAGAATGTATTTCCAGAAACAGAATTGCTGGGTCAGTTATGATTATTGTTTACTACTTTACTATATGTTGCCCAATTTTTCCCCAAAGTGGATGTGCTCAGATATACTCCTATAAGCATTGATTTTAGCTCTCATATTTCTAGCCAGTTTGTGAATAAAATATTATTTGTTGTTATTTAAAAAATAAATAAATAAAATAAAATTGATTTATAAGTTAAATGCAGTTCCAACAAAAATCTTTAATGGCCTTTTCTGGGGGGTGGGTGAGAGACTGGTATTAACATATGGATTCTAAACCTTATAAGAATGCAGGATTCTAAACTTTATAAGAAAATGCAAAGGACCTAAAACAGTGAAAAAGAATCTTGAAAATGAAGAATCAAGTTGCACCACTTGATTCAAAACAACATAGAGCTACAATAATCAAAAATGTATGGTATTGTATAATTATGGACAAATAGGTCAAAATAACAGAAAGAGTTCAAACAGATTTTTGCCCAGTTCAATTTTATACCTAGTTTATACCCAGTTCAACTGATTTTCAACAATGGTGTCAAAACAATTCAATGATGAAAGGAAAATCTTTTCAACAAATGGTATGGAAAAACTGTATAAATGCATAGGAAAAAACATTAACCTTGACTCCTACCTCACACCATATACAAAAATTAACTTATGATGGATAACAGACCTAATATAAAAGCTAGAACTATAATGCTTCTAGGAGAAAATATAAAAGAATATCTTCATGACCTTAATGTAGGCAAAGATTTCTTAAACAGAACCCAGAACCCAGAAAACACTAAACTTAAAGAAACCCAATAAATTGAATTTCATCAAAATGAAAAAGTCTGCTCATCAGACATTTTTTTTTTTTTAAAGATTTTATTTATTTATCTGAGAGAGAATGGGAGACAGAAAGCATGAGAGGGGGAGGATCAGAGGGAGAAGCAGACTCCCCGCTGAGCAGGTAGCCCGATGCGGGACTCGATCCCGGGACTCCAGGATCATGACCTGAGCCGAAGGCAGTTGCTTAACCAACTGAGCCACCCAGGCGCCCTCATCAGACATTTTTAAGAAAAAAAATAATAGCTTTAGACTGAAACAAAAATTTCTTGGTACATATATGTGACAAAGGATGTATATCTAGAACAGCCCCTCTTTTTTTTTTTTTTAAAGATTTTATTTATTTATTTATTTGAGAGAGAGAGAGAGAAACAGCATGAGAGGGGATAGGGTCAGAGGGAGAAGCAGGCTCCCGCTGAGCCGGGAGCCCAATGCGGAACTCGATCCCAGGACTCCGGGATCATGACCTGAGCCGAAGGCAGTCGCTTAACCAACTGAGCCACCCAGGTGGCCCTAGAACAGCCCCTCTTAAAAGTGGGCAAAGGACTTGAACAGACACTTCATAAAAGAAGATACATGAGCAGCCAATAAGCACATATAAAAGAGCTCAGATCAGTAGTCATCACGGAAATGAAAATTACAACCATAATATGATACCATTTCACATGCACCTGAATGGCTAAATTGAAAAGACTGACAACACCAGGTGTTGGTGATGATAGAAACAACTGGAACCTTACATTGTTGGTAGGAATGTAAAATGGTATAACCACTCTGGAAAACTGTTTGGCAGTTTCTTATAAAGTTAAATATATATCTACCTAATGACATAGCAATTCTACTCCTAGGTATTTATCCAAGATAATGGAAACACACATCCACAAAAAGACCTGTATAGGAATGTTTACAGCAGCTTCATTTATAATAGTCAAAACATGCAAAACCCAATGTCCATCACTAGGAGAATGGATAAACAAATTTTGGTACATTCATATAATGGAATACTACTCATCAATAAAGACAATGAACTACTGACATACACAACTGGATCAATCTCAAAAATGTGTAGAATAAAAGAGACTAGGCCCAAAAGAATATGCATTGTATGCACTGTATGATTCTATTTTTATGAAGTTCAAGAACAGGAAAATTGACCTATGGTGACAGAAATCACCTATGGAAATAGGAACTAAGTGAAGGAATTTTCTGAGGTGATGGAAATGTTCTATATTTTATTGTGGTGGTGGCTATCACAATGTAAGCACATGTCAAAACTTATTGGAGTATATACTTAAGATTTGATTATTTCACTATATATAATCTTTAACTAAAAAACAAAACAACCCCCCCAAATCTCTCATACCACCCCAAATACCACAGGAAAAGCCAGAGGTTAATGACAAACAGGAAAAGAGGCAAAGGCCTTCATTTACAAGAGATATCACAAATCATTTAGAAATAAACAATTTAATAGAAAAGTGGACAGGAGTCAAGGAGGTTCATAAAAAAATAATAAAAGTGTTTAACAAACTCTAAATGATACTAAAACTTACGCCTAGTTAAAAAAATGCAAATTAAAATAAAATACCATTTTCCACCCATCAGATGGCTGACTTTAAAAGTTTGATAATACCCAGGCTGTGAGAAAACAAATACTCCCATGCTCATCAGTAGAAGATTAAATTGGTGCAATCTGTTGCAGTTAGTACCACATTTACATTGCAATTTAATTTTAATTTAATTTTAGCAAAACATCATCTGTCCAATTAAGTTAAATTTGCATTTTTAAAATTTTAAATTCATTCTATAAATTTGCTTTTGCTTTACAAATTCATCCAAGGTATTAATATAAGAAGTTTATCCCTGGGGGCGCCTGGGTGGCTCAGTCGTTGGGCAACTGCCTTCGGCTCAGGTCATGATCCCAGAATTCTGGGATGGAGCCCCACATCGGGCTCCCTGCGCAGCGGGAAGCCTGCTTTTCCCTCTCCCACTCCCCCTGCTTCTGTTCCCTCTCTTGCTGTGTCTCTCTCTGTCAAATAAATAAAATCTTAAAAAAAAAAAAAAAAGTTTATCCCTGGCTTTTGAACATTTAAGTAATTTTAGAAATAGTACTTGCTAGTGGGGAGCCCCAAAATGCTGAGTGGAAGTTTATTCCAAAGTTAGGGTGATAGTCCCCAAGCAGTAATTTTGGCACTTTTCACAGACTTATTTGGATACAGTGCATCAGTATTATTGAATGGAATCTTGGAGAAAAATAAGACAATGGCTTGTTGGCTGTTGGGGGGGAAGATTATTTTAAAATGAAAGCAAAGTACAAAAGCAGAAAATGAACTAGGGAATGAGGGAAAAAGAAGTCTGTGAAGGATACATTTATTTGTAAAGGTCTGAGTGGGGAAATTGGTTGAAATTCTGAGTGGTTAGATTCTCAAAATATTGAAAGCAAATATCCAATTTATCAATTCCTGTTTTTAAAGTTTTGAACTTCACTAATAAAAGTTTATTTAAATATTTATACTGCCCAGATGAATTCTAAATATTTGTCTTGTAATAATGCTCATGGAAAGGATTTATGCAAACCTGTGACCAATTTATAATTTGAAAACATTCATATCACATATTTTACCTGTCTACAAGTAGAGTATCACTTGTTATAATTAAAATATCCAGGCAATTTTTCAGTTCCTTGTTACGGTCAGTTGTCTGTACTAGACTCATCAGCAAACAGAGCTTGAGCAAATTGTAAGTCCCAGGAGGAACAATTTGTGATGCAAAGATATTGGCAAGTATTGCCGTAAATTTCCAGCATGAGCTGGAAGTCAAAGAGAGAAGATACTTGAAATTGTCGCTAATTCCTGAGGGAACTGAAAGTAAATATTAACACATATATTAAAAAGGGTTTTAAAACAAGAAAACGACATTATAGATCTCTACTTTCATTTACCTAAAATATTATCAAATTGTAGTTCTTCTAGTAATGCCACATTCAAATTCTTATAATAATATTAAATTATTATATATATTATATTACATTATGATTAGAGGTCACTCTGGTCTCTCAATTTTATCCCAGGGAATATAATAAAAGGAAGCAGTCACCACATGTGTCCACATAGACTGGCTGTGGGGGGCAAGCAAATCCCTCATTCTTTTCCTTTTAAGACCTGTATGAACAAAGCCAAATCAGGGGGCTCCTGTATTGCAGTGTTTGCTTCTATATCTATGTTTAAAATAATACCACCTTTAATGAGGGCTAAACAGGAGAATGGGAAATATTTGAATGATGCTGTTAAAAGGGAAGATTACTCTCTACTACTTTGAAAGCACTGGACTCTACTATACTGTAACAATCTAGATCTTCTCCACTCCCTTATTCTATCCAGCTCCTCAAAGGAATGAGTGATTTAATCCAACTGATCACTGGGACGAATAGCCGTGCATGCATAAACCATTCCGTTTCTCCTTCCTTTTGGGCTGCCATCAGAGAGCAATGATTTCTTCTATTCATCCATGCCCATGGACCAAGGGAGACCTACTTTAGTGTAACTCCTGCCAAATTTGGGTGGTTAAATCTGCCTAATTCTATAGTGTAGCATGAGAAAGCACACTTTTTCACCTACATATAAGTCATGTTCTGCTACCAAATCAATAAATTTGGAAACACTTCACAGCAGAAAATATTTAAAATAACATTAAAATATCTATTGTCCTTTAGTGCTTTCTTTCTTCAATATTTTTACTCTTTTAAGAAGCTTTTCTCTTCAAGACAAGCAGAGGTATCTAGAATCTACTTGCATTTAAATTCAACTTGGGCCTCTATTTTTGCAGATGGTTATCTAGTGATTCAAAAAAAAAATCTAACATTGTTCAAGGTTTAACTAATCTTTCCTACTTTAATTATTTGTGTGCCGGGCGCCTGGGTGGCTCAGTCGGTTAAGCGACTGCCTTCGGCTCAGGTCATGATCCTGGAGTCCCGGGATCGAGTCCCACATTGGGCTCCTTGCTCGGCAGGGAGTCTGCTTCTCCCTCTGCCCTTCCCCCCCTCTCATGCTCTCTCTCTCTAATAAATAAATAAATAAATCTTAATTATTTGTGTGCCAAGTTAAGAGTAGGTCTGCTCTCTTGGGGCGCCTGGGTGGCTCAGTCGGCTAAGCGGCTGCCTTCGGCTCAGGTCATGATCCCGGGGTCCTGGAATCGAGCCCCGCATCGGGCTCCCTGCTCCGCGGGAAGCCTGCTTCTCCCTCTCCCTCTGCCTGCCACTCTGCCTACTTGTGCTGTCTCTCTATCTCTCTGTCAAATAAATAAATAAAATCTTTAAAAAAAAAAAAGAGTAGGTCTGCTCTCTACTTTTACTTAATGCTTATTTATGTTTGAGTTGTTAAAGGAAATTATCAGTAACAAAAGTGTATTTTGGTCCCCATCGCCTTTCTCTTTTGTCTTATTTCTTGATTGGTTCAGAACTCAGATGAGGAAAAGGATGCTATTGTATTGGGTTCTTTTTCTCAGACCACAAGTTACTTAACATTGCTTTAGTTAGAAAATAAAAGGTTGGGTGGAAAAACCTTTTGATGAATCTTTAACTCTTGGCATCTGGACACAATTTTCTCATTGCTAATTATGAAAAAATCAAAATAAAGTTCAGGCAAAAAAAGAAGTCCTTCCTGTGGGCAAAGTTCTACATTATCACATTTTATTTCTTTCATAGCATTATCGTCTTGTTGATTAGTTTACAGGTTTACTGACCGTTTACCATATGATTTTGACTTTAACTATATACCTAGTGCTTAGAAGAGTGCCCAGCAATACTTATTTCCTGAGCAAATACTTATTTCCTGAAAACATGGACTTAAATTTAAATATTTGTTAATATATGATCCTAACAATTTCCTTACCTTTTGGATTGCAAGAAATGATACTGTTTGCCTCTATACAGACAGCAGTTTGTGAAGTTTTTACACAGCTTGGAATTCCAATAATTTTATACTCATTTCCTATATTCATTTTACTCACTGATTCATCTGAGATTATTAAACACAAAAGAAAATATGTATTCACTAAATGAAACTTGTACATGATCATATGGTTCAAAAATCTAGAACAAGTAACAAGTTAGTAACCGAGTTAGTTGTAAAGCATTTACTTTTGTTTAGTATAATATCTATATAGAGTAACACCAATAATGTAAATTGCAATTTTATTGCTAATAAATTTTGATATTTATAGGCAATGATGAATTAATTTCAAGAAGCATGAGACACAGCAACAAGATAGTCTCCTCTAATACAATTAAAGGAAAAACAGGGTCATTCTATTTAAGATGAAACATCTTTGCATTAAATCATAAAAAATGTTAATAAAAATGACCTTATAAATAATAATTTGAGAAGAAAATAATTTTAAAAGGTATTATTCACTACCTACAATATAGGCAAGGTATTTTTACATATATTATCTAATTGAAAACTGTTAGATATTGTTATTCCTGCTTTGTACATGAAGAAACTGAGAAGTTAAGTAAATTGTACGAGGCTAAATAGTTCATAGCAGAACTGAAGTTCACATCTAGATCTGGGTATCTCTTGCATTATGCTAGGTTTCCCTTCTCACATCTACAGATTGGACAAAGCTTTTGCACAAATTCAAAATTGGTTGATTTATTGATTGTTTTAAGTAGGTTCCACGCCCAGCATGGAGCCCAGCGCGGGGCTTGAGCTCATGACCCCAAGATCAAGACTTGAGCTGAAATCAAGAGTCAGATGCTTAACCAACTAAAGCACCCAGGCACCCCTCAAAATTTATTTTAAAAATATACACTAAAAATCTTGATCCTCCAATACACAGAAGTTGGTTGGTTGTAAAGCTATGAAAGAAAGGCTTAAAAGGAGGAACAGGATTAGCATCTCTCCATGAAGAAGATCAAAAGGTGATCTTCTCCATCATTTTTTTTTCTTTTCTCTCTCATTTCTTTTTTTTTTTTTCTTTACGATTTTATTTATTTATTTGTCAGAGAGAGAGAGAGCACACAAGCAGGGGGAACAGTAGACAGAAGGAGAAGCAGGCTCCCCACTGAGCAAGGAGCCTGATGCAGAACTCAATCCCAGACCCTGGGATCATGACCTGAGCCGAAGGCAGACACTTAACTGACTGAGCCACCCAGGCGTCCCTCCTTTCTTTTTTTTTTTAATTTTAATTTTAATTTTAATTTTAATTTTATCTATCTATCTATCTATCTATCTATCTATCTATCTATCTATCTATCTATCTATCTATCTATCTATCTCCACAGAGCATACTGGTGTACCCTGTAGACTGGAAGGGAAGAATCAGGCTCGAGAACTGAGAAAATAAAAACTACAAACCAACCAACCAATCAAAGAAACAATAACAACAAAAAACAACTAACTGAAGGATACAGAATGAATTATGAGGGGATAATTAGAGCAAATTGTTTTTCTACTGTTCCATGGAATCATAGTTTGGTAGATATATCTTGAGGTCAAGGAAAGGTCAAGAAAAAGGTAAGGAGGCTGGGAAGTCTGGTTATCTCTTCTACTGTCAATCCCAAAAGGCCTGTTTTTTATTAATTTAATCTTTAAAAATTCATTTAGGTTCTATGGAAGAGTTTATTTGAAGAAAGGATTTTCTACCAAAATATAAGTTGGATAGATACTTATATTTCTATGTTGTATGGTTTTTATGTAGCATATAATAGAATTAAGTAGACTTTGAGACTGGAATGCCTGAATTTGAGTTATGGCTGTGCCACATACTAGCTATGTAACTATGGACAAGTTACTTTCTGTGCCTCCGTTTCCAAATTGTAAAATTGACATAATAATAGAACTTACTTGATGGGTTGCGACTAAATGAGTTAATATATGTAAGAGTGCCTGGCACACAGTAACTGCTATTTAAAAATGACCTATTATCATCTGTGCTTATATGCTTGCCTCATCCTTGTCAGGCCACAGCGGGAGGAGTTCTTATTTGAATTTCTACTTCCTTAACTCTTGAGTTTCCGATACATGTTTGACATTCAAGTTCTCTCTTTCCAAACAGTTAAACTTCACCAATTTCAGCCCAAGAAAAGAGGCTGAGCCTCACCCTCATTTTCACAGTCCTGGCTTTTCAACAAAGACTCACCATTCCCTGGGTGATTAATACCAATAATGATTTCCTCCATAGCAGATTCTGTCTACTCACAGGTCTCTATTCATGCAGTTCTCAAGAGTTAATCATACGTCACAACTCATTCATTTTTTTAAACAAATATTTATTGAGGTTTTACTATGTTTAAAATTTACTTTATGAGGTTTTACTATTTATGAGGTTTTACTATGAGGTTTTACTCTGCAGTAAAAAAATCAAGTCCTTACCTTCATGAAGTTTACATTATAAAGTAATCCCAGGGGCTCCTGAGTGGCTCAGTTGGTTAAGCCACCGACTCTAGGTTTCCGCTCAGGTCATGATCTCCCGGTCAGGGAGACTGAGCCCCATATCAGTCTCCTCGCTCAGTGGGGAGTCTGCTTCCCCTCTGCCCTTCCCCCTGCTCACAAATTCTCTCTCTCAAATAAATAAATAAATCTTCAAAAAATAAATTAAATAACCCCAATGTTTACATAAGACACAACATAAAATGATAGGAGATCATTACCATAAATAATTGTGTCCCTGAAACCTAGCTCGGTGCTTGGGACATAGCAGGTGCTAATATCTTTTTAAGTGAATGATGTATGACTCAATGAATAACTGATACCTTAGCTAAACATGACTCTTTAAAACACTCAAAAGAAGACCTATGATTCTTAAGCTATAGAAGTACCATTTATAATACATAGCTATAAACAAGTCAATTACATATTTTATATATTTTACAGCAATTTGTTTTTAGTGCACACAAAACTTACTTACCTCTTAGAAAAATTGTAAGAGATTGAAACCTACATGGCTGGTTGTTAGAATATCCTCGAAAAGCATGAAGTGCCTTTGCTGTTATTATTTCAACTATCTGTTTATCTTAAGGCCAATAGCAAAAAAGAATTAGTTATTTGAATATACATTCAATTTACTTTCCACATTAAGATATCAAATACTATTTTAAAATTTGTAATTACAAAATATAAATGCATCTTTACCACCAAGTACTCTAAATTTTCTGTCTTCTTGAAGTGAAGATGAACATAGATTACACAAAAAGTCATTTCTTACTGTTGCAGATTCTGTAGCACCAGGCACATGCACTCTTATATACTGAAATCCTGAAAGAAAACAAAGGTAAGCTAAATTTGCTTTTGGATTTAGCTATCCATTTTCATTCCTTTAAAATTATTCTAATTCAAAGTATAATTAATTCAATTGTACATGTGGGTTCAGAGCAGTTCAATTAACATTTATTGCATGAAAAAGAAGAAGATAGCAGGAGGGGAAGAATGAAGGGGGGAAAATTGGAGGGGGAGCCAACCATGACAGACTATGGACTCTGAAAAACAAACTGAGGGTTCTAGAGGGGAGGGGGGTGGGGGGATGCATTAGCCTGGTGATGGGTATTAAAGAGGGCACATTCTACATGGAGCACTGGGTGTTATGCACAAACAATGAATCATGAACACTACATCTAAAACTAATGATGTAATGTATGGGGATTAACATAACATAATAAACAAAACACATTTATTGCATGGCTATTTCTTGCCAGGCACTATGCTAAGGCACTGGTGATATGGATACTTAAACACAGTTTCAAAAGGCAGCAATAAGAAACAGATAATTTTAGTATGTGGTGTTCATTTAGAGTGTTCAGAGAGAAGAGAGGAATGACATCCAAGCCAATGAGAAGTGGGGATGAATGGAAAAGATGTCCTGAGAAGGACTGAAGTTAAGCCAAAGGTTTGAGAGAGGACATTACAGGGAGAGGAAACAGCATGAACAGTCATGAAACAATGTATGAGAACAAGTGCTTCAGCAATCCAAGAGCACCTGTTAACACTGTGGGAGAGAGAAGGGAAAGAAAAGAATGCACCTCAGGATTATGCGAAGTAAACTTGTAAACATGAAACACCAAGTTTTATTCCATTCTTTCTACTCTATGAATGTTTCATAACTAATGGTAAACATGATTTAGGATTAAACAATAAATTGCTTGATGTTTTGATTTTACATTTTTATATCTACCTTTTGAAAGAGGGCATGCTTCATCTGAACAAAGAAATCTTGCACCTTGTGTATACTTAGTTACAGTCGTCATTGCAATCACAATTCCTTGCATCATATAAAATCTTTGAGATGCATAATCAAGTGGAAACTCACAAAGATCAAGACTATAACTTCGCAGAGGAGGTAAATGTGTTAACTTCAGCACTATATTAATCTAATAAGAAGGTAAAAATGATATTAATAAAAGCTGTAGATCCAACTGGACTTGCATTACACTATAGTAAGTATATTTGTGGAGTAAATCAAGTAAATAACTTGTTAGTGTTATTAGGAATCAAATTTAAGCATAAGAAAAAAGATTTAAATATAAAATCAAAGATGCAAACCCCTTAAATCTTATATTTTAATTGAAAATATTATTATGAACTCATAATTTTTCTTTAAAACCACAATTTCTTGACTATATCCACTGAAAAGACCTACAAAACAATGAGAATCCAATAGCAATGACCCCTTCCAGTGCCCAGATTATGATCTCTTAAATATAATTTCTCACCAAAAGGAACCAAGGCTGCTTAAGGGAAATGGCTGACTGTAGGTCTGAGACAGAAAATATACCAGATGGACCTGGTGCACCTCTTTGTGCCAGAAACCAAGGGAGCTACAAAAAACTAAAACATGGGATGTGTCAAAAGGACATAAATGCAAACTTTAAGGGACTGGACTCCCAATGGACCAAAGGTTCAATAATAATAATCAAAAAGAATGACAAAGATTCATTGAAATATACCAGATATATCTTTAAATTCATGAGTTCCTCATAATAAAAAAAAAAAGGAAAGAGGCGCCTGGGTGGCTCAGTCGTTAAGTGTCTGCCTTCAGCTCAGGTCATGATCTCAGGGTCCTGGGATCGAGCCCCACATCGGGCTCCCTGCTCGGCCAGGAGCCTGCTTCTCCCTTTCCCACTCCCCCTGCTTGTGTTCCCTCTCTAGCTGTCTCTCTCTCTCTCTGTCAAATAAATAAAATAAAATCTTTAAAAAAGGAAAAACAAAACTAAAAAAATTATTGGTCATCATTTAGGCTCCTAGATTTCAACTCATTATTCTCTGAAGATTTATAAATGGAAAAAAATCAACCATTCATTCTGCCTTTTAGGTACAAATTATATTTCAGGGTAACCAAACAGTTGATGAGAGAAAACTTCTGTTATAGAATAATTTCAGATACTAAATTCAGAAAAGTTGCTGAAATTAGAAAAATCACAATTTTACAACTTCTAATGAAATAATGGATTCTAGGTAATGGTCATCAGTGGCTGCAAAGACTATTAGGTGAAAGTTGATGGGAGAGCGTATATTGAAGAGATCAGACTGACATTACCAGAACCCACTGATCAATTGTGGGATTACTAAAAGTAGAAAACAGATAGTGTATTTCCCCTAATGTAGTGCAATATGAAATACATGACAATAAGTATGATGTATTCTTGTCAAAATGAGTTGAATCTGAATTTAAGCAAGTTTTTAGAGCCAATTTCTATTTCCCAGAAATATGGTGTATGGAAGAATAAGTTAAATACCGTAAGAACATAATCAGACAAATCCAGATTATGAAACATTAACAGGACAATTAACTAGTTTCTTCAAAAACTCAGTGGTGTAAAAAGGAAGAGGGAGGTAACTGCTCTAGATTAAAAGAAGTTTAATGAGATACAATAACCAATTATAATGTATAGGCCTTGTTTTGACCCTGATTCGAACAAATCAATTGTGAGACACTCTTGAGAGCCCAAATGGGTACATTTAAATATGGACTGGATATTAGATACAAAAAAATTGTTATTTTGTAAGGGGTCATAATGGCATTGTGGTTATATAAGAAAAATGTCCACAACTTTTAGAGGTTGATATGAAAGGATGGAGTGGTGACATTAGGATGTCTGGGATTTGCCTTAAAATATTTTGGTAAAAAATGGATGATGCAGGTATGGCAAAATATTGTAAACTATTAAATCTGAATGACAGATATATAGAGGTTCACCATATTATTCTCTTTATTTTGCGGTATGTTTGGAATGTTCTATTATAAAAATATTCAATGTTATAAGTGATAATACAGGAAGTAAAGATGTGTATTTAAGATATTCTATTGAACTCTGAAAAAATGTAGTATCTTTTTTAATAAACAAAAATATGAATATAAAAGTATTTATTTACAAGTAATCTTCAAAGTTTTTTACCGCGGTTTTCTTTGTTAAATTTAACTAAAACTTACTTGAGTTTCAGTCTGTAATTGTCCAATTAATGAGAGAGTCTTAACAGCAGTAAAACAGACCTGTGGTTTCAAACAAACAAAGTTACCAAAAATTCCACATGACATAAAATTCTTTCTTTCTTTAACTTACTGATTGAAAAACTTGAGCAGCTTTTAAAGGCTCGTGTAAAATGTGATTTCCAAGTTCAGCATCCAATTCAACAATATCAGAGGGATTTATTAAAATATTGAATCGATAGACAGCATAACTTTGTTTTGAATCTGTAAAAATACACAAATATAAAAATGAGGATAGTTACATGCAGGAATTTATTTTAAAGTTTCTAAGATACAATGTCACCTTTGCTGAACATACCATTGTAGTATTTGCAGTCATCCATAAACTTTTGGAGGCCTCCACTTCTGTCAAGATAGATAAGAGCTGCCTCTTTCATTTTTAGACTTGACATTTTCTCCTAATTAATGATTCTTCTCTATTACTAAAAGATTAAACGAGAGTTGCTGGTAAAGATTACAGATGGTGAAACACACAGAAAAGATGAGAATACCTAGAAATAAAATAAATTAGAATTTACACTTCATGATCTCTAATAAAACCTTACAAATTGTTCAACTTAAAATTGAGAGTGAAATAAAATGAGGTTAAAATTTCCAACTTAGAAAAATTCCTACCCAAAAGGAAACAAAACTTTGTGGTTTTTTTGCCAAATAACATTTTTTATCAACAGTAGGTCATCAGATTCTCCATAAGATTACAAATTTAAGAACAGGAGCCTCAACTATCTCTTTACAGAGTAGGTGTTCCCAAAAAATGCTTGTTGAAATAAATATTAGATGATGAGTTCCGCTTGCAGGAGTTGCTTAAAAAATGAAAGTGGTAAAAGTTGTTTCAAAAATTCAATCTAGGGCGCCTAGGTGGCTCAGTTGGTTAAACGACTGCCTTCAGCTCAGGTCATGATCCCAGGGTCCTGGGATCGAGTCCCGCATCGGGCTCCCTGCTCTGCAGGGAGCCTGCTTCTCCCTCTCCCACTCCCCCTGCTTGTGTTCCCTCTCTCGCTGTGTCTCTCTCTGTCAAATAAATAAATAAAATCTTTAAAAAAAAAAATTCAATCTAAGTAAAGTGTAGTTAACCTAAAAAATCTGAGAACTTAGTTCTAGACCCAGCATTTCCTAGTTGCTATGGGGCAATCACCTGACCTCTCTTGGCTCAGTATCTTCATCTGTAGAAAATGAAGGGGTTTCATTAGATGATAAGGCTTCTTCTGGCTTTAAATCTTCTATTAGTGGCCAACATAAAACATTAAACTTTGGTAATGAGAATGGAATATGTAAAATTCATTTAAAGACAGCAAACAGTAATTGGAAACAATATATACCAATAATTGTATTAGGTGTTAGGAATAAAATGATTAAGATTGGATCCTGCCTTCAAGGAGTTGCCAATTTAGAGAAGTCAGAAATAATGACCATCACATTTATTCATTATCAAATATTTATTGGGCATTTACTATTTATTGGATACCAGACTGTCCTAGACACTGGGGACACAAAGATGAGTAAAATATGATTCCTACTGTTCACAAAAAGTATAGTGAGGGATGAGAAATACATATAAAACTTACAATTGACTTGCTATAAAAAATATTAATGTACTAAGTCGCACAAAAGGAACAAGATATATTAAATAGTTCACAAAATGACATTATCCTTGTGGGTCATAATATTTTCTATTGTTTTAGGACATTTTGACTTAATACAATAGGTCATAGAAAAAAAGCAATAAATTGTACTTTAAAGGTGGTATTTGATAAAGATCGCACTAACTGGAGGAGATGTAAAGACAGGAGGATTTTTTCCAAAGATAGGGTAACTCTTTGTTACCCCAATTTTCAGACCTACACTACTGAATCCATGTCCTTACTACTTGGCATTCAGGCTACTTTCCAAATAAAAGTAACAGACTGTCCTTTTTGCTATTATACAGGGGGGAAAGTTCAGAGTTTCTCAGTTGTCATAGGTACAATGATCTTAAAGTGTTGTGTTCAGGATATTACATCTGTGCTTCATTTGAACATAAGGTTTCTGGGGCTGAATGAAGGGAGGCTCTGAAATGGTTGGATGAGTCTCAATCAGATTATTAAAATGTTTGAAGTCCAGGACGATTATACAGACAGGCAAAGAGAAGCCATCAAAGTTTTTAACAGGGAAAAATATGGTCAGATTTTTATGTTAGTAATCAATGCCTGGGCCAGCGTGCAAGATGGGTTGGATAGAAAGAGTTGATGATCAGTTTCTAGCTACTGAAATAGTCCTAAGAGATGTGTATGGCCTAATCCAGGGCATGACGAATGAAATGAAGTAGAGGGGATGGATTCTGGACTTTTAAAGATTTCATGCTGGACATGGTGACCAGCCTGTAAGCGTTTTCAGGATGGGTGTGGGTGGATGCTGCTGCCCTAATGGAAATACGGAACCCCGGAGAAGAGTAGGAAAATAATGTAAAGTTCACTTTAGAAACCGTAACCCTAACAGGCTCTTGGGACACCCAGATATATATAAGCATCAGGGCCACGTAAGTCAAGGCCTGGCGTCCAGCAGCTTTAAAAAAAAAAAAAAAAAAAAAAAGGCGAGAGATAAAGCTCCAGTGTCCCTGTGTAAAGCAGAGGTCTTGGGAGTAGATTCACTTTTGAGAAGGGGAAAGTGGAGAAACGACATGGAAGCCTATGGAAAAGCATTAAGTAAGAGAACGGGGGTAAAATTCTACAAGCGTTCCCGTCCCCTAAAGAACTCAAGTGTTGGTTCACTTGCAACAGGCGCGAGTCGCGTCTTCTCCCCGTCGCGTCAGCAGAAAAACACCTCACAAAGTGGATACAAGCGAATCTGACCTCACACCCTAGGATCTAGGACCTCTCCCACCGCCACTCGCAGCCTCTGCTAGCAGGAACCCCGACCCACCAGCACGTAACACCCAATCCTCACCCACCGAACCCCGCCGAGCGAGCCGCCCTCGAGACCAGGACCCAGCGAGATCCTCACACGCATGCGCGCACCTCGCGGACGTTGGTGGCGCGGGGGCTGCCGGGACCCCGCCCCCACCTCGTCAGGGTGGCCACCCAGACCCTTCCTCCACCCTCGTTAATTAAATCACTGTTGCGCTCTCCCCGTAAGGCAAAGAAGAGGGAGAGAGATAGATACAAACCTTTGCTTTTTGTTGTTTTCACAGGCCAAGGGTCTCCCTGGTTTTTTGTTTTGTTTTGTTTTTTAATTTACTGAAAACTCTCCTGGGAATGCAAAATGGTGTAATCAATTTGGAAAACGTCCCGGGACTACCTCAGAAGTGGAGTTACTGTATGATCCAACAAGTCCATGCCACACATTATCTATTACACATAGATAATGAGAGGATTTAAATATATGTTCACACAAAAACTTACAACAATATTCATAGCCAAAAAGTGGAAACAACTGATAAATGGATAAATAAAATGTGGTATATCCCTACAATGGAACGTTATTTGGCCTTAAAAATGAGATATGCGGGCGTCTGGGTGGCTCAGTTGGTTAAGCGTCTGCCTTCCGCTCAGGTCAGGATCCGGGAGTCCTGGGATCGAGTCCCGTATCGGGCTCCCTCCTCGGCAGGGAGTCTGCTTCTTGCTCTGACCCTATCCCCTCTCATGTTGCTTCTATCTCTCTCTCTCTCTCTCTCAAATAAATAAATAAAATCTTAAAAAAAAAATGAGATATGCACTGGGGCGCCGGGGTGGCTCAGTCATTAAGCATCTGCCTTCCACCCAGGTCATGATCCCTGGGTCCTGGGATCCAGCCCCACATCGGGCTCCTGGCTCAGTGGGGAGCCTGCTTCTCCTTCTCCCTCTGCCTCTCTCCCTGCTCATGCACTCACTCTCTCTGTATCTCTGTGTCTCAAATGAATAAATAAAATCTTAAAAAAAAGATTAAACATGAGATATGCACATACAATGGAATATTATTTAGTCTTGAAAAGGAAGGAAATTCTGACATGCTTCAACATGGATGAGCCCTGAAAACACTATACAAAGTGAAAGAAGCCAGACATAAAAGGCCAAGTATTGTTATGATTCCATTTATAGGAAATGCCTAGAATAGGCAAATCTGTACAGAAAGAAAGTAGATTAGTAGTTACTTAGACTTGAGGAGATGTGGAGAATGACTGGTAATGGGTATAGGGTTTCTTTCTTTTTTTTTTTTAATTGTGGTAAAATATACACAACATAAAATAAAATGAAACTCTCTACCCATTAAATAATAACTTGCCTTACCACTCCCATCCCTGCCCACTTCTATCAGACCTGACAACCAGCATTCCACTTTCTGTCTCCGTGAATTTAACAATTCTAGGAGCCTCATATAATTGGAATCATATGATACTTACCATTTTTGACTGGCTTATTTCACATAGCAAAATGTGAAATAAGCCAGTGAAATGTGAAATGTGAAGGGGCAGAGAGAGAATCTTAAGCAGGCTCCATACCCAGCATGGACCCTGATGTGGGCTCCATCTCACAACCCTTAGATCACGACCTGAGCTGAAATCAAGAGTCAGATACTTAACTGACTGAGCCACCCAGGCGCCCAATTGTACACTTTACATAGGTGAATTGTATCGTATTTGAGTTAAATCCCGATAAAGCTGTTACCAGAAAATCAAACTTAAAACTTGTGCTGACTCCTTCCCCATTAGTATTACTTGGTACAGTTATCAGTCCCACTGTATTGCATGCTTTGGGGAGGATCCAGGGGGTGGAAGGTTGGACCACTTTCCATGGAAAAGTAAATGAAACCATTCTTTTTAATATTTACTAGGGTTGACAAAACACCTCAGAGTTTGTTTCTCTTGGGGAATATAATCTTTGTTAGTGATGAGGTGATGAAAATGTTTTGCCTGTTTTACAATCAACTTGTAACAGCAAAAGGATGTTAAAACTGTCTTGTACATTTCTGTGGTTATGAATACTATTTTAGATGGGAAGAACTAGGCTATGGTCTGGTGATGGGCCTTATATTTTAAAGTAGAATCAATTGGGGCACCTGGGTGGCATAGTTAGTTAAGCGTCTGACTCTTGGTTTCAGCTCAGGTCGTGATCTCATGGTTGTGAAACGGAGCCCCACGTCCCACTCTGTGCTCAGCATGGAGTCTGCTTGAGATTTTCTCTCCCTCTCCCTCTGCCCCTCCTGCTCATGCTCTCTCTCTCTCTCAAATAAATAAATAAATAAAAATAAAGTAGAATCAATTCACAAAAAGGTACTCATCTATTTTAGTCTTGATTAATCAGTTAACGATAACAATTCATTTCTTTTTTTTTTTTTAAGATTTTATTTATTTATCTGAGACAGAGAGAATGAGAGAGACAGAGAGCACATGAGAGGGGATAGGGTCAGAGGATGAAGCAGACTCCCTGCCGAGGAGGGAGCCCGATGCGGGACTCGATCCAGGGACTCCAGGATCATGACCTGAGCCGAAGGCAGTCGCTTAAC